GCTGGTAATCGCAAAGCCATGTAATTAGAATGAAGGTTACTAATCCTTCTAAGCCCACCGCCTCTATCCTGAATTATTATATCAGGACTCTTCTTCTCCTCCGAAAAGTCACCAACTATCAAAGCAGCTATCTCGGATCTGTTGGTGCATTGTCTCGAGGTGCGACTTTCGATCTATCGTGCAATAACTTTCGAGGCATAATTGGCGGCAACTATTGTTTTGGACCAATAGGTCCCTAGCTGCCCTAAAGGATTTCACCAGCTCATTTTCTTTGCATCAAACATCCTCACTAAGCCCCGGACAATTCTTCTATCAATTTCATTCTCACCCTCACGGTCCCTATCCCTATCAAAAATTGATATTCGATTTTCAACCTCATTATCGAGTGTCATAAATATAAAGTTGTGCATATACGGAGACTTACCCTCATCTGGTAGTAAAGATCCAATTCGATGGTGGACTGTCCATTAATTTTAAAGACATACGGGCCGGGACCCTTGTTTATATCCATGTCAATTTTAGCACCGAGTGAAGTGAAAGCAAACATGGAGTTGTATGAACGTATAGATTTGATGAAGTATTTAGAGAAAGTATCACCATTTGGGTTCAACAAACCAGCTAGAAATGGAGGGGATCTTTTAGAAGAGGCAAGCGCACCTTACCTCCCCTACAACAGAGATGAAAACGTACACGGTCTCCTTCACCTCGATACGTTCTTTTCACACGTTCTTGGTACCAAAAGCTGCGCACCACAAGATCGACACTTGTGCGCAGGAGGCCCGTAGTATGATATCTCGTAAATCGCAACCACCACCAAGGAAAATATGATTTTTACGCTTGCAATATATAGACACACATGCAAACAAGTACCTTCTTTCCTTGACCTTGCTTTTAGCCTCGACACCGCTGCTCTCCCTCTGTTGCCCTCTTCTATGGAACATGTAACCCTACCTACAACAACGTAAGATAATTAGTTGGTCATCCTAGAGAATCTACCTAGCTAGTACCCCAATATAATATAGGGGTCCATGGCTTGCTGAAGAGCGCACCAATATCTTTGGATTATAAACACACTCCTCTCCGTCCCTAAATATACATCGTTTTCGCTTTCCAGAAATAATTTTGACTAAATATATATTAAAAATATTAATATGTATCGTACATAATTAGTATCATTGGAAAGATCTTTGAATCTAGTTTTTAACAAATTTATTTGGAGATACTAATGTTGCACGCATTTTCTCCAACTCAAGTCAAAGTTCTGACACGCATACACTAACGATTTACAATTATTTAGGGACGGGGAAGTACTTCAATAACTACCTTCTTTCTTCGCTCTTATTATAGATCTTCGGCGCTCCTGCCTCTCCCGTATAGTTCTCTCAGTAGATGGTGTAGCAACTCCTGCAACATTGATAGCAAATTTGTTGCTTATACACAATAAGCAAATATATAATGCAACCACAAGAGAGCGCTTTTGGTGGGAGGAGGAGCCTTCTCTCCGAACCTTCTTCCTTGTGTTGCTAGCAGGTGCCCCTCCATGAAACATTATTGGTGGATCACCTATAGGGAGCATAAAATCATCTCCATAGATAAAGGTACCAAACTCAAAAGTGACAAGAAGCATGCACAGACGACATATTTTCTTGTTGAACCGATTCCCAAGGAAAAGGTCTAACACGATTTAAAGTAAGTGATTTTGTGCTCAGTAAATTTGCAATGTTTCTTGACCGAGGTGGCTACAAAATTAAATGTATGGAAGGTGTCTGGTACTACTTTTTTTAATATGCTTCATAGGACCATCGGGCCAGATATATCTAACTTGATATTCTGGCACCAAATGTCTCCTAGTTCAACTTTCACTGCCCTACACGAGTGTCTCGAGTAGGCAGTACTCGAAGAACATAACAAAGGCAAAGACAGATGAAGGGGTGCCGTGAAGCAGCAGGAAGGGCATGATTATATAGGCAAGAGGAGAATCTCGGAACGCACTATCGGTAAGAACACGACGAATAAGAAATAGACATGCCCTAGGTTCACATGGGCACATAATGCATGGTTAATTTAATCTACTGCGAACAATGGAAAATTTAAATCCATGTACTAAACTGGTAAGAACGATATAGTAATCAAATTCAACCCATGCACTGGTCTGGGAATAACAAAGAAATCAACTTTTCAAAATATCGAAGGTACTAATCTGCGCCAATGACCCATGGACCAAGTAATACGGTAGCAACAAGGTACAAATGATGCACTAGTACGATGGTGACATTTCATGCATGCATGCCGTCTGATGCCCTTTTGTCTTCTTTGTGTGGAAGTGCATGATGGTGACATTTCATGCATGCTCTATATATCGTGAGAAGGCGGCAAATTGCAGCACGAAGGTAGCTTCCTCTTCTTCCCTCCTCTCTCACCAGTCAGGCAGTCACCACAGGCCACAAGTGTGCTGCACGACTCACGTGTCTGCGATATTCAAGGATTGGGAGTGTGTGCGTATGCGTATGTGCCACTGTGGCTGTGTCCAAACATCATACACGCACACTGCACTGAACCAAAGCTGGGTGGGTTGTCACAGCACAGCTATACCTCCTGCGGGATCCCAGGTCATGATTCCATACCGCCACAACCCTATAAAACCAAAAATCATTCAGTCGATGCTATGACATTGCAGCAGGCTAGTAATAATAAGTAACCCTAGAATGGTTCCAGCTTTCAAACAAGATGGTTATTATCCTATATATGATGCACGAAACGTATCCAGCTGTCACTTTATTCTTGTTGAAAAAAAGGATCTTGAGAACTGAAGCAGTTTCTCTCTACTGCTAGTGCTACTATCATTGGAGGCCTGTTCCCGGGTCCTATCATGAGAAATGCTTCAGTAGGCAACATGCATAATTACATAGAAAGGACAAAAGATTGGCACGCTGTGTGCTGTTGTGCTAGCATAGATATTCGGCATGAAGGGTCAATATCATGTACAAGATTAAATGGACGCCTGGAGTTCAAATTTTTTCCCAATTTAATCGATCAGATAGCATTTAATCGATCAGATAGCGTGAAGTCCAATGTCTGTAGCTGTAGAAGGCAAAAGTTTATGGAACGACGTGGGACCAACGGAGGGAACTGACGGAGTGCGGGTGCTCTCATCCACTCATTTTTGCACTGCAGCACCAGTCGTCTGTCCTTGCCCGCTCATACAGTAGCATTGCAGCTTCTTGTCACCTCACACAGTAGCGTTGCAGCTTCTGTATTCATGTCACCTCACACAGCAGCGTTGCAGCTTCTATGATGCATGCATGCTATCTGCTGCATGCGTTGCAGCTTCTATGATGCATGCATGCATTGAGACCACCGGCAGCATGCGTGGAGAATCTAGCCTGTAGCACAATACCAGATTTTTTTATCCTTGTGCTTTCTCCATATGTAGAGCAAGCATATAATAAAAGGTTGAGCCAACAACATGCATGTCACAAAAACTCATAGTGAAAAATAGGAGCGAGGCGATCGAGCCATAAAAACAATATCGGACCGGGCTAACAGAGCAAGCTATCGTGGCCATGCTCAGAGGCCATGAGTGCGTGGAGAATCTAGGGCTGTAGCATAATACAGATTTTCTATCCTTGTGCTTTCTCCATGCGTAGAGCAGGTTGAGCCAACAACATGCATGTTCTGAAACCTGTTCTCCTTCAGTCCAATCATGAGAAGACAAAAACTCATAGTGAAAAATAGGAACAAGGCGATCTGAGCCATAAAAACAATATCGGACGGGGCTAACAGAGCAGGCTATCGTGGCCATGCTCAGAGGCCACGGTGCATGTTACGAAACCTGTTCTCCTTCAGTCCAATCATGAGAAGACAAAAACTCATAGTGAAAAATAGGAACAAGGCGATCTGAGCCATAAAAACAATATCGGACGGGGCTAACAGAGCAGGCTATCGTGGCCATGCTCAGAGGCCGCGGAGACGGCGCGGCCTCATATTTCTAATTATTGTAGAGCTGCTGCACACATAAGGTCCAGTTTAGATGCAATTTTTTTTGCAAAATAAGCACCGTAGCATTTTCGTTGTTATTTGACAATTAGTGTCCAATCATAATTTAATTAAGCTTAAAAGATTCGTCTCGTGAATTTCGTTTAAACTATGTAATTAGTTTTATTTTTTATTTATATTTAATGCTTCATGCATGTATCTAAAGATTCGATGTGACGAGAATCTTCGAAAAATTTGACAAAACGAAGGCCTGAGGATACGCCCAACGCCAGCGAACACCATCATATGCCCCAGCTAAATTCCTCGGTCCACACATGCATGGAAACCTCGGGGACTTGTATCCACCAACGTGGGCTGTGCAGACGCATGCTCAGTGCATGCAGCAGCCTTTCTCCCTTTCTCTACTCCCCAAGCAGCCATTTTCTCTTCACAACGCGTTTTCTATTGTTGGCTTCGGTTTTTTTTATCAGGCGAGATAACTGCTTCTTTCATAGAAGACTATAAACAACTACGGTTCTGTATCAGAGTGTTCGGCTGTTATGAAAAATTTAATGTTCATACTAAAAACACTGTTTATGCTAAATGCCACGAGAGAAAAATATTGCTCCAATTGAAAAAAAGAAACCGAACGAGCTTGTTGCTCAGCCGAACACTATCTGTAGAGTTCGGACGCCTAAATAAATAGATACTGGGACAGTACGCCACGGTGTTATATTGGGAAAAAGGCAGCCGAACACTATAAATAATCGCTTTCATCGTTTCAAACTTCTAGAATGGGTCGATTATTCTGAATTTCTAAGTCAGCTGGCAAATCTCACTTGGTCACAGAAAGGGGAAAGCCACAGGAAGGACCCCCACCCCCCGATTCAGCTCTCCCATCTGGCCGTCTCGCATAGTACCCTTCAGCCGCGACGCGACCAAAAGTGAACGAACCGTCGAACCGCACCAGGAAAGTCTTCGCTTCGCTCCTCTCTGGTCTCTGCGGCTCCCTCCGGCGAGCGGCGATGGCCTTCTCGCCCCCGCTGATCGACTGGGAGGCGGAGAGCTACCCCGCCTACCCAGACTTCGCGGCCATTCCCTTTTTCGTCGTCTTCTTCCTCGTCGTCCGTTTCTTCCTCGACCGCTTCGTATTCGAGGTTGTTGTTTTTCCCGCTCATTTTTTCCCTGTCATTTTCAGCGATGCTTGAGCCAGTTATATTTCATAAAGTATGAAGAGAGGGAGTCGATTTTTCGACGAACTATGAATTGTGAGCAGGTGCTCGCTGCTCATGATTAACGCGGGTGGAAATCCAGAGGATTTGTCAATCAATCCATTGTCATTTCAGGATTTGCTAGTACTATTTATCTCACTAACATGTAACTCGTGAAGTTACATGCTGTTGAGACATGGAGTGGCAAAACCTAAATTCCTATCTGAGTGATTATCCTTACGGAGGCGCCTATTAGGCAGAAATTTTCAGAGGCACCGACACGCTAGGTTGCTAAGAGGATCCTATCTGAGTGATTATCCTTACGGAGGCGCCTATTAGGCAGAAATTTTCAGAGGCACCGACACGCTAGGTTGCTAAGAGGATGTGCCAATTGTTTATTAAGTAGCTGCATCTACGCTATTCCATAATTGGCTGCTTTTTATTTCTTGCTGTTCAAGCGAATCTAAAGGAGGATTACTTGTGAGCTGTGGCTGTACCTTTTTGGGAATGAATGAGAGTTATTTGACATCTTCCAGATTAACTATTTCTCTTTTTCAGAAGGTAGGCCTATGCATTAGCCCTCATCCAGCATTTTGTGTATAGTGGTTAGCCAGGAAGCTGATTTTCAAGGAGGATGAGAAGCTTGGTCCTACTACATATGCAGGCAAGAGAAAGATCATGAAATTTAAAGAATCAGCTTGGAAATGCATTTATTTCCTTTCTGGGGAGCTATTGGCATTGTCTGTGACGTACAACGAGCCATGGTTCAGAACCACAAGAAATTTCTGGGTTGGACCAGGTGATCAGATCTGGCCAGATCAAAAAATAAAGTATGCCAGACATCTTCTCGTTTTTGAGGGAGCAAGATCTTCTTTGGCCACCTTTTATTATTTTATTTGTACCAAGTTATAACAAATGGATTTTATTTCCCAGATTTAAACTCAAGGCGGTCTATATGTATGTTGCTGGTTTTTACACATACTCGATATTTGCCATTTTGTTTTGGGAAACAAGGCGCTCAGACTTCGGTATTTCAATGACTCATCATGTAGCAACCGTTTGTCTGATAGCACTGTCTTACATATTCAGGTACACTGGCTATCTGGATTTTTTTATTTATCTTTGAATCCAAGTCAAGTTGCATTCTCATACATCTTTCTTCTCAACACATACTCAGGCACTGACGGTTTGTGAATATTTCTTTATAGTGGCAGTTGCATTTTAAAAATAATATTATCTGGAAATGTTTTTTCTAAAACAGATTTGCTCGGGTGGGTTCAGTTGTCCTTGCCATTCATGATGCAACTGATGTGTTCCTGGAGCTTGGAAAAATTTCCAAGTATAGTGGCCACGAGTTGTTTGCAGATGTTTCATTTCTTGTTTTCGTCAGTTCTTGGGTACTCCTTCGCCTTATATATTATCCATTCTGGATTCTCTGGAGCACGAGGTAAAGATGAGTAACTAATGCATGGATCTGTGTACTTTAGGCGCTCGGTATTAATAAGACTATGCATTTATTCTTAAATTTCAGCTATGAAGTTGTTCTGACTCTAGACAAGGAGAAGCATAAAGTTGACGGGCCAATATACTACTATGTATTCAACAGTCTTCTCTTCTCACTACTTGTTCTACACATATATTGGTGGGTTTTAATGTATCGGATGCTTGTGAAGCAAATACAGTCTGGAGGGCACGTTGGGGATGATATACGATCTGGTAGGTTCTCCTTTTCCTTAGATTCTTTGGTTATTATATGAGGCTGAAATTGGATAAAACATTCTTTGGAGTTAAATTCTGGTTACAGTTGAATATACCATCAGCTCTTAGTATTCCAGCCATGCATGTATGTCTTGGGGCTCATGCATTATCTATCACTTGCTAAAAGACTAACACGTACTATAAGAATCAGATTTATTTATGTATCATAAGACTCACTGTTACCCACCCTCATGTAGATTCTGAAGGTGAAGAGGAACATGAGGATTGATTGAGCTGTGCAAAGTCTGGAAGATGATAAGGAACATGGGGATTGATTAAGCTATATAAGTTCCGAAGGCGAAAAGGAACATGTGGATGGATTGAGAAGGTGAAAAGGAACATGTTGTACTGCAGTATCAGAGCATTCTGCTGTTTTCCTTTTGTGCTGGTTCTTGATAAGTAACAATACATTAGTGCCCTTCTCTAGGTGAGCATCACGATAGATGTCACTTGGGCATTATCTATTGATGTAAAATTAGGTCACATTTTATAGCACACACACAACAGTTAATGGAAAACGTTAGCAGTGCGCATGTCTGCCTGTACCTTGGCCAGTTCGCCCTTTCAATACTGGGCTTAAATCAATGCTAACTTCTCATGAAGTTATGTGAAACAATAAGAATATTGCAATTTATGCTACCTTCTCTAAGCTAAAATTCATGTTCACTTTTACTAAAGATAGCACAGAAGCATATTATAAGTTATGCCCATGAGTCGTTTTTAATTGTTTTGATTGATAACCAGTCTATGGCATTCAAAATATGATATCTTACTTTCAGTTGAGTGCCATTGGCATGGTTGTAGCTTCTATTGCTAGTCATCTGAAACACTGATATTTTACCATTCACCTTTTGTTATCAGAGCATGCTCTAACAATAGAATATTTCAAGTGAACTTACAAAACAAAAGTGTAGTACTAAGATAATGAAATAAGCAGTCTGCCAAAAAAAAACTGTTCATTATATCCTAGAGCTTCTGGTCACTCACAGTAAACCATATGATTGCTGACCCTATCAGATTGTAAACGGAACATAGTATTTCCTCTCATTATATCAGAACCATGGAATGGTACCATAGCTACTATTGGGTAGATCTGGTGGCGAGGACATCTGATCCACTTTAAACTCTACATCTGATATTTTGGCGAAGCGACCCTTGATCCGGGGCCGTGCTTCAGCATATGCTTTTCTTGTTGCATACCTTATGGTCTTATCAAACTTTCTTGCCTGCCTTTTCTCCTTGTACCTAAGGATCCTGGCTGCTCTGTCCCTGGGGCTCAAATGCACTGGCATCTGAAACGAGCGGACTTGTAATAGGTCCACCCCACCAGTTCTCAGAATATTGAGGTTTGATATACCTGCTATGGTATTGTCTGGTACTATACCCACCTCCATTGATGAAAGAGATATCTGAGATGAAATTGGCAAATAGTTACTGAATATGTGAATGATAAATTGCAGGTATACATACCATGCAATAATATTGATCTGGGATCCAATTGTTTTGACTTTTACTCTATAAACTAAAATGTAGTATATCACAAGTTGAGAACTTGTACATGATTAATGGGCTTTGTCAGAATATAGAACTGCAACCACTCTATTAGTTCTTGTTTGGATCCTAATGTAGGGAGATAACTGGAGGAAATTATTTGTCTAAAAGATTTAAAAGGAAGAAAGATAAACTTAAAGAGGCAAGCTAATGCAAAATAAGAATATAGAATACAGATGAGTTGCATCCTTTTGCACCCACAGTGAAGTTTTGCAGAGTATTGATTCAATCAATTTGGATGCTTATTCAGAAGATAAATAGATCACTACATGATAGTTTAGAGTACGGCAGTTTATTAATGGATTAACCTGAGACAATGGTGCTTAAGATTAATAGATCAGTTCATGATTAATATAGAAATAGATTACTTACGCTGCTGGTGACAGAGGCCGCGTTTTTTGCCCCTCCAATTCCATAAACACTCTGCTGCTGCTCATATACCATGGCGAGCTGTGAAGGTACTACACAGTCGCTCCATTCCCTCTCTAGATACCTTCTATGTATCTGCTGTTGCTCTTGCATTCTGTACTGCTCCTCTGGGTTTCCGGTGATGTTGCTGTGATAGTACGGATTATATCCACTAAAATCAAAATATTGATCTACATCACCAAAAACCATTTTCTTGTTGCTATTGCTGTTTGCAGTGGCGATGGAGTTGGTACAATTGCTATAATCAGAATCCTCCGTTAGCAGGAGCCAAGAATCCACTTCCTCTTCTTCCTCCTTGATACCATGGGTAATAACAAAAGCTTTTCCCTCATCAAAACCGGAGGCAGCTGGAATAGTAGCAGCTTGAAGTGGCAGCACATGCACTCGCTGGTCTCTCTGAGCTAGTGTATTTGCAGAGTGCACCTTTGCATTACAGGTGGTACATAGGCCAGTTCGGCTGGTCTGAATTCTGGCTGGCTGGTTCGGCTGGTGCTGAAACTAAAACAGTGTGAATACCAGCCACAAACAGCAACATCAGCCGACTGAACCAGCAAGCAATTGAATTCAAAAAAATGGCCCCACACTAGCATTAAATGCATTTCGATTTCAAATTCAAACACAAACAGCTGAAGGCTGATTCTGCTACATATCAATGAAACAGCTAAGTACAACACCATTTAGATACATGCTGAAACACAGAAATTTCCTAACTGGATCAAGCTGATGCTAGGCATAATTTCACCCAAACCTATCAGATACATGAGCACAAGTGACCAGTCTAGCTAAACCAAATGCCGTGTTAAGTCTGCAACCAATGGCATCAAATCAGATTATGAGCCTCCCAGGCAGGCTATGCCTTGTCGTTCCAGAGCTGACTGAGCTCCCCCTTGTTCAATTGCAGTAGCAAGGAAATGAACCCACCAGTTTTCCTCTGGAAAAACAAGAAGCGAAGGAAATGAGCAACATAAGTATAAATCACTACACTGCTTCCAGCTAGAGTTGAAGTTAGCATTTCTGGAAATATTAAAGGTTTTGTATTGGCTAAAGAGAACTCAAACCAACATATTGCTCTCTGCAGTAGTTCATAAAGAAACAAAAGAATCCAGTCTGTGTAGTGATCCTGTGGGGAAGTTACTACATCATCAGTTGACAAATTTGAATCTCTTTCCATATCAACCAGTTTGTTTGAAATTTGAAGAAATAAAAACGAAGGCTTCATTGCAAATTACTAATGTGACCGGTTACTAAAACTGAAATAGATTAAGTGACAAGAAGCAAAATTAGGAGGACCACAATGCAAATGTCTCAACTTCATTTATCCTAGAACCTACAGGACCTTCTTTATCCTGATTCCTGAAACCATGGTACACAACAGAGGTGTGCTCCCGTGCTAAAACAAAGTAAAATACAGTTAAGACTGGTGCAGTGCATGTACCTTCTATAGTTTTATTTAGACAATAACAAACAATGTCCAACCAAATCTTATGTCTATGGATGGCCAACTGGTACAGATATTGAGCAATCTTATGTGTCGGCAACAGAGCAGACATGTTCATGTTGTTAATGCTAAACAGAACTGCAGATGGTTTATGTGTGTCAATGTGCATCATGACTTATCCATCCAGTTGTCATATTAAAAAAAGGCTAAGGAAGCATAGATATTGGTCAAAGATTTTCTTAGTAATACCTCAAACAAATTTTTAGAAGTGGACATGTTGCACCATGTCGGCAATTACTTCACCTGCATGTGTACATATCCTCATTAGACCCAAACTAGGCAGCCAGGATGAAAAATGCATGACTTATCTGATAACATCCACAAACCCAAATTGTTTCACTTACGTTGTCTTCCTAAGGAGTCCAAGTCCATATGTTATCCACTCGCGGACCTGTTCCATATCATTAGGATCTCCCAACGCCATAGCTGCCACTTGACTCAAAGGACCAAGGTCTGTCGCCTGCCTGAACCGTCGTTGTTGGTGATGACCCTCCAGCTCATGCACGTAGTTGTGCAGTGCACAAAGAGCAATAATTATCTGGGTTTGCTTGGTCCCCGGATAGTGAGGTATGCCTTTCAACATCTGCCACTTCGCTTTCGCTGCCCCAAATGTTCTTTCTATGACATTACGCAACTTCGAATGGTGCCGGTTGAACAACTCCTGCGCATCTGTAGCCCCCTTGGTCTGGAACTCCTTCACCCAGTACCTCTTATTTGGATACGACGTCAGATACCCGGGGCGAAGTGCGTAACCGGAGTCCACCAAGTAATACCGGCCTGCATAAATTCATAGGAAGGCATCAGTTACCATACAATTAGCTCCAGCATGATACAACCAAACGGACTAAGTTCCAACTAACTTGACGGTGGATGTGGGAAAGAGGCATCGGCTTCTGCCTTTCTTTTGACCCGCATATCATGAGCGGAACCCTCTATCCCCGCCCCGATATACGTGAACCTCATGTCGAAGTCATAGACCGCAACCACATTTTAGGTTGGCTTCCCTTTCCTATTAATGTGGTTATCACGGACTCCTTGATCAACTATGACTTCTATGTGAGTGCCATCCATGGCGCCTATGCAGCCATAAAAAACGACGTGTACTCCACCAATTCAGACGACAGTCCTGAATAACTAATGTCCCTAGGCCTAATCACGTCATTTGCAAATCTAGTCATGGCAGCCAGAACATGGGAAAATATCTTGCTACATGTCCCCAACCCCCTCCCAAATCTCTCATGCATTTGTCTCTGGCATTGATTTGTACCACATGCCCATAAAAACATGGCTAAAGCTTCTATTGAATCAAGCTCCCTAATGCCTTTTAGCCCATAGCTATCACGTAGTATGCTATGCAACCTAACCAAATTTTCAAGCCGCATTCGGCAGCTTTCAAAGCATCTGCCAGCATCTGACAACAGCTTATCTACCCACTGTCTTCCGGTAAGCTCAGGCACTTGGATAACATGGTTACCTTTGTGGTGGTACCTACAGCATGTGCGCAAATGCAAATCCAGCATCCATAGCTGCAGTAACCATCTCGTTGAAGCTGTTTTCACTTGAATTCTGAATTTCTTCGTCGCTGTTGTCCATATTCCAATTGTCTGCCAAGGACAAACATAAACCATCTTTGGTAAGTAAATTCCAACAGCATATGAGACATTATCAAACTTTACCTGTATTACACTACAACTTTCAAAGTCATACACACCTTGAAGCTCATCCATCACTGATGTCCCCTGCAACAAGTCCCTTACGTACCTGCAACAAAAGTACCCCGTTATGATTTGTTCAAATACAGAACAATTAAAGCATGTGTTAATATTGAAATATTTGTTAGCTTCAAGAACCAAGTAATGTCAGGCATCTAAAACAAATACATCGCATCACACAAGTTATAACAAGTTCGGGAAAAAGAATATGACACATGGTTTTTGGCCACAGGCCCCGTTACAAGACAGAAACCTCAACACAACTAGGACAACAATGAATCTAAAGGATAAATGACGACACTCAAATGCCACCGTTGCTTCACACCAAACTCAACATCCCAGCTGCTGAACTACTTCTTGTTCTTGTTCATTTGATATGTCAGCCAAGCCATATGTTCTTCGGATGTCAGCAGATTCTTGAACACCCGCCGGGGCACTGAGTTATTGAATAAATCCGTTGTCAAGAAGAACATGTCTGAAGTGGCTGGCACACCATCTTCTCGTAAAAGTTACATAACTTCGTCTACCTCCACCTATTCACGGGTCCGCTCCCTATCCCTTGATGCGCTCCTTGCAGCAATGCTCTCAGACAACAGGGCAATGTACTCCCCCACATTGCAATTCTTCTTCTTCTCTAGGCTGTTGACGACATGGTCCCTGCTGTCCCTCTTCGAACCAGAATGGTAGCTAGATGGGCCGCCTAAGTCTAGCCAACGCAAAGCAGCAGGAAGCGTTGACTCCCGAATACCACCAGCGGACACAAAGCAGCCCGTGTTCCGGTTGCGGTCCCCAAATAGTGCCTCCAATTGGTCTAGGAAGCGAGGTTGCCTACCACGTTGTACCTCAGGCTGACTATCATCCTACAAAAAAAGAGGAGGACATAATGTTAAACAGTGTAACCTATGTAATCGGAACTGTTAACAAGATAACATACCGAGTTCATGGGCTGGAAACCTTCTTGAGTTTCCCAGTACTCACTCTCAGCATCAATGGCGCCCGTACGTGGGTCCCTCCCAAGCCCAGTGGCTATCAGCCCATCTTTCCATGTCAGGTAGGCTTTTTAGGTATCCTAGCTTGTTGTTGCACTGTTTCTTATCAAAATGGGGGAAGTTAGTGTAAATGTTGTTCCAGCCAGCCGTGGTGAGACCCTGCTGAGTGAAGTTACACTTTTCCTTCTCTTGAAGACAAAGGTCCAGCAATAGTTTGGTTTCATCCTCGATCCAAGTTGCACGTTTTGGAGGCATCTGTTGGAACGTGGAAGGGCTATTGTCGTTTGTGGCTGGACATAGTAATGGTACCGAAAAAAACTAAAGGAATGAACGAAATAACTAAAACACGATGCAATGGACAGAATTGTGTACTTGCCTTGATTTCTCGCTTCACGCGCTTGGAACGCAAGTTGTACCGGGGGGATTTCGGTGGGGAGCAGGAAGCTGTTGACGACGGTGCTAGTATATAGACTTGGAAAGAGCTCACCTACATGATAAACATGTGAATCTGTCAGAGCTTTATGTGAACCAAAGTAATCCCGCATCATTGTCTACATTCGGAATACAAACTGTGTGCGAACTGGACTGACAACAGAGTAAAGGAGTAATAAAAGAAGTAGCCTAATTACTGAAATTAAAATGCATTTCATCAATGCAATGAACCAACTGTAGTTACATCACAAGCAGCATCGCATCACCCTAAAATTTAGTAACGTGACGAACAATAAGAAATTTGAAGCAACCCGAGGAAGACCATTGTGATTCATTCATTGATGCATTATTTATAAGCCATAAGCTGAACTGGCAGATTTACAGGCATACAACCCATCCAACATTGGACTACATGAGAAACTAGGGGAGGCAAGTCTAAAAGGAAACAGTAAAAACTAATGGAGTTTATGGTAACCCTCAATGCAATGGATGTGCAAGGACTATGTGACCCTAACAATCTGGCTCTACATAGGCATCCACACTTGAGACAGTCGCCTACGTACCGGATCTAGCGCTGTAGGGAAAGAGGAAACAGGTAAACTCATGGATCCGGTGGCTACAACAGCAATGACTCCAAGTCAGATATGGAAACGACACCAAACAGAGGAATCAACAGCACGTTGAAGCAACCGTGGTGTCAACGAGCTTGCCGGCGGATTCACCTAAAACCGAAGTAGGATTAGGGGTGCGGGAAATCGTGAACCCTAACTAAACAAATCGTCACCAACAAACAAAAAAGGAGGGGCAAGTTTGGTACTTACCGGAGTGGTCGGAGGTGAGGCCGTAGCCGACGAAGGGAATGGATCTGTCCAGCAACACGGTGAGGACGACATGGCGGATCTGGTAGGGCAAGGCCGCACCGAATCCGGCGACACGGGCCAGGTGGATGGCGCCTTCCGTCTCCGGTAGGGGGGAGGGGGATGGGAGAAGGATAGTGGGCGGGCGGGCGGCGAAGCGGGAATGGGCGGGCGGGCGAAGGACTCACCGCGTTGGCAGCGGGAGCAGCAGATGGGAGCGGCACAACCCTAAACCCGCGCGAGCGAATGCGAGAGGGGGATAGTGAGGAGGGCACGAGCTGATGTTTCTAGGGCAGCCGAATGGCTGGAGAGAGCAGCTGAACGGCTGGGCCGGAAGGCCCATTCAGCTTCAGCCGAACCAGCCAGAATTCAGACCAGCCGAACGAGGCCATAGTGTTGGTGCATCTGCACAGCACGTCAACACTGTGTATGCACTCTTGCATACCTCACATACATGCGCGCGCTCATGACATGATGCCACTTCATTAGCAGAATGAACCTGTTTATCACATGACACGCAGAGACACTTAGCATCAGAATGACAGTAAACCACGCTTTGCACTGCATGGCGTCCATCGCATGGCCTGGCCGTTGGAGAACTTCTCCCCACAACTTCCTGCTCGAAAAGCTTAGTACTGAAATTACAATTCATCAGCCTGTTCGTTTGGCTGTGACTTGTCGTAAACGATCGTAAATTTTTAGCCGGAACAATATTTTTCTCTCACACAAACTAGCCAGTAGTACTTCTTCACGAACCAGCAACGAAACGAACCAGCCAACCGAACAGGCTGATGAACATAGAACCTTGCAACTTGTACTTCTAAAGTATAGAGGTATTAGCTAATTTCGTAGCTTACGTATCTTCTCCCATTCTTCTGGTCTCTCATAGTTTCTTATGGTTTTTTGAACTTAATTTGGAGGTGGTGGTCAGTGGCAGTTACCACTGTTCAAAGTCCAGTACTTCAGTGTGTAGTCTAATAGTAGGGTGGCACTGGAATCCAGAGAGTAACATGTAGTGCCATTCATGGGGCTGAGGCGCCGAGCAGAGCTGTGCCCCTAGGCCCTAGCTTGTAGTCTGTGGATGCTGCTAGTGCACTGCCTGCCTTGATGCCAATCTTCAAATGCAGTGTCATTTTCAGATAAGATTTACTCCAGTTTGTAGAATAGAGAATAAAACAGAGCACTTTTTTCAGGCAAGTCAGGATCGTCTGATTGAATAAGTGCCAAAGAACTTTGGAAACCAGTTTGAAGACTCTCGCAGTTAAGGTGTTAAGACTTTGGAAACCAAAGGTCGAAGAATTTATAACAAAAAAATGGAAGTAAAGGGTGCAGATGCCCCTTGCTCTCTTTATGAATATCTTTTGCAAAAGAGAAAGGAAGGGTGGGTGTCTTGGATTCTAGTTTGATTTTTTCTTTTGTGCCAGTATAGCATCT